AGTAATTCCTTCACTCTTCCTTTCTTCTATTCCCTTTTACAGTCCCCATAAATCCCAAACTGACTCTGGAGACAGCTCTTTCCCATAACAGCATATAAAACTACACCTCCTTTGTTCTTCCTTGTTCTGGTGTAGGCTACCAATGTCTTGTGACAGGCCTGCTGTCTGGTCCCTCCTCCAATGCGTTTTCCAGACTGCAGCAGACATGCCACAACCCTCTGTTTGCAAAAGCTTTATTAGAAGAGTAGCTACAAAACACCTACAGTCAATATCACACTGTATAGTGGGAAAAAAGTAACTGTTTTCCTCTTACAAGCAGGAGTCACACAGTAATTTCATGTTCACCAACAACCATTCCAATTCAATAATATACTAGAGGTGCTGGATAGTGCAAATCAAGCAGAAGAGAAATACAAGGTATTCAAACGGACAACTGCTTCTGTTAACATATATAAGCAAAACATTTGATCTAAGAATGAATCCATCAAGGCCATAGGATACAAAATCAATGTACATAAATCAGTTGTACTTTTATATATGCAATGATAGCCAAGAACTAAAATTTAAACAATAATTCTATTCCCATTGTCATAAAAATGAATAAGAACAAATAACTTTGAGAGAAATTTCCAGTTCATGATAGAAAGCCAAGTCATAACTTCTTAACTTTACAACTTTGGCGGGAGGGAAGGGGGGTGTGGGGGATGGGAAGGGATGGGAAGAGAAACAAAGGAGGAGGCAACAATGCTTGATAAGAAATATACTCATTACCTTGTCCATGTAATTGTAACCCCTCTATACAGTATTTTCACAATAAAATAAATAAAAAAAAATTTTTAAAAAGAAAGCCAAGTCATAGTGCTCCTCCTCCACCTCATCTGGAAATTTTCATGAAATGAACTAACATATGCGGAGATGGAATATTTACATCAACTTTGGAAACCAAAAAAAAAAAAAATTACCTGACATCCTACATGCTACAAAACACATAAGGATTGGCACAAAACACAGATCCTGTAAGACTCAAATAAGAAAAATGTTCACTAAGCAGGATGCTGACAGACAAATGGAGCTTAAAATATGTCATAAAGCAGTAACATTAACCACTAATAGAATAAAAATCATGGGGGGAAAAAAGTAAAGAAAACTTGAAGATAAGGAAAAGGAAGTGACAGCGTGGAAGCTTAAAAATAGAAAGCATTAAATATCACAGAAGAGCAAACATATCAGTTATCACTGAAGAAAGGTGAGTGGGCTATTCTTTCCTGTTAAAGAACAAAGATTCTGGCTGGGCACCAGTGGCTCATGTCTGTAATCCTAGCTATTTGGGAGGCTGATATAGGGAAGGCTGTGGTGCTAGAGGCCAGCTTGGGTAACCAACAACAACAACAAAAAGTACTGGAGATTGCTTCTCCACCAACAGCTAGAAGTAGTGGCCCAAACTTGTCATCCTACTTTGTGGCAAGTATCAAGTGGATCATGGTCTAAGTGCAAGAAGCAAGATCAAAAGTAACCTGTGGACAGTGACTGGAGAGGGAAACGGGGGGGCGGGGGGGGGGGAGTAAAGGAAGGGTTGACATTGTCCAAAAGAGGAAATGTACTCGTTACCTGACTTATGAAATGGTAACTCCTTGGTAGAACACCTTACTAACAACAATAAAAATTTTTTAAAAAGAAAATAGCCAGTGCAAAATAGTGCTAGAAGGCAGGAGCCAGTGGCTCACTCCTATATCCCAGCTACCTAAGAGGCTGAGATCTGAAGACTGTGGTTCAAAGCCAGCCCAGACAGACAAATCTGAGAGATTCTTATCTCCCATTAACTAGCAAAGACCTGGAAGCAGAAGTATGGCTCAAGTGGTAGAGCATCTGCCTAACAAGCAGAAGGTCCTCAATTGAAATTCCAGGACCACCAAAAAATAAGCAAATTAAAAAAAGAAAGAATAAAGCTTTCACCAGGATATACAATATATAATAATACATTGTATTAGAAGCTACTCCTAAAACCACAACATAGGTATATTAAAAATAGAAAAATTGGCAAAGATAGGCCCAATAGATGCAAATCTAAAGGAAATAAAAAGGTATCAACATTAATATCCAAATGCAATTTAAAGCAATAATCATGGAGGCTTAGAGAGAGTTTCTACATTGGAAAAATATAGGATTCCCTGTAACGATTTAAATTTTTAAAAATATTCATGTGCTAAAGCTCAGGCATCCAAGTACATAAAATTAAAACTCAGAGATAATAGGTGAAATTTACTGAAACCTTGGTGAAAATGTGAGATCCTCTGTATGGCTTAGCTAACAAACATGTTAGAGAAGAAATTTGAAAAACTTGCATGCTCCTAGAGACATGAATTTCTCACCGTTCAGCCATGCACTAGGTTCTTCCCTAAATCCTCACAGAACCTTTCCCCAAAACTTATCTTGCACAAACGGAGGAAAGCCAATACCTTCTCCTAAGCAGAAATCATATTCTGATCATAATACAGTAAAACCAGTTACATAATAATTTAAGTATAAACAAATGTTACTTGAAAATGTGAAGGAAAAGGAACAAAAATCCCAGAGTCAAAAAAAAGAACAAAATTGCAAATTAGAAGCTCTTTCTGAAATAACAGCTACCCATCAACATTTATGGGATATGATCAAAGTTTGTACTTAGGGGAAAACGGCTCCTCATGTTTTTAATATCAAACAAGAAATAATGGAACTAATTTAATTCATAAAATCCACAGAAGAGCAACCTCAGCCTAAGGTAAGTAGGAGGGGGAAAAATGGAGACAGATAAAAAGAAAAAAAAATCAATACATTAGATAATGGAGAAGGAATGAAATTGATAGCTGGAGTGCTGGAACTTTTAAAAGACCAATAAAATAGGTGGAATTCTGGCAAGACAAATGAAGAGAAAAGAAAAGAAACAAAACCCACAGGGCACAGGAGCCAGCCCAGATAATGTAAAGAAAGTCACAGTGACCCTGGGTTCTTAACACATGGCTGTCTCAGCACCATGAGTGATTTCCTAGACAAGTATGCAGATATGCACGGACTCCTGGCTCAGAAGAAAACCTGAGTTAGCTCAGGAAACAGAAAACATTTGCAAACACCCAAGGGGTCCAGATCCCAAAGCACTCCACACCTCCCAGGACAGCATGTCTCAGTGTTTCTTGGCCTATCCTCCCCATATTGAGTGTGAAGAGGAGGAGACTCTTTCCAGCCCTGCCTCTTGACTGTCTGGCCATGCCTTAGTTACTACTTCATAATGATTTCAATCAGGACAACCTAGCCAAGGCACAAGCCCAGAGTCTCCTCTTCTGTGCTATGGCTGTACCACTCTCCTGTAGGTGTGGCCTGGGAACCTTCCTCAGATGTCAGCACAGAATAGTGTAACAAGTTCAGCTATGTGTTCAATTCCTTTAGGACCACTCCCTGACCATGCTGCAAAACCCAGCATTGACTTGTGTGATATTCTCATGAAAACTCCCTGGGAGCCATGGTTTTGCTTTGTGTCATACATTCAGGCCAGCATCAGGACATAACAGGTGCTCAGGGAAGGGAGGAAGAAGATGCTAGTCCCCTTCACTAGGTTTCATTGAGCATCTACTTGTCCCACCTTCCACCAAATGGCAATGGCAATCAGGTACTCTCTCTTGTATCTGGAAGAACTACTTATTCTGATGCTGGCCTCCCAGACTTCCCCCTGCAGTACACAAGAGGGTTGAGAGAAAGGAGAGGGTTGGAGTCATCCAGGACCCATGGTGTAACTCTACTCCAGGAGCCTGGGGTTCGGAAGCATCTTAAACATAGCTTGGATTCATGAATGCAACAATCTTCCTTTTGTTTAAATATTGTCGGTCATGGGGCTTGAACTCTGGGCCTGAGCGCTGTCCCTCAGCTCTTCAGCTCAAGGTTAGCACTCTACCACTTGAGCTACAGCGCCACTTCTGGTTTTCTGGTGGTTTATTAGAGATAAGAGTTTCACGGACTTTCCTGCCCGGGCTGGCTTTGAACTGCAATCCTCAGATCTCAGCCTCCTGAGTAGCTAGGATTACAGGTGTGAGCCACCAGCACCTGGAAAATGCAACCATCATTAGGTGCAGTCAATACCTCAGACTCCCCAGAGCCTGGCTGGTTGGTAATCCATTCACCAATTGGCTTCCCAAAGAGCGTCTCTGGCAGGATAGGTAGAGCATGGCAGGCCTCCAGGACAGATATCCCAAAGGCACTTCACCTTTGCCTTGCCTGCAAAGGGTCAACTTCCCACCCCAGTCCTCATCAATTGTGAACCTCCAGTCTTGAGAGACAGCTGAGGGGTACAGAGGAGCCATCCCACCCCTCCAGAGCTTTCTCTTCCAGCCACTGTGATCAGATTTGGGGGGAGGGTCCAAATTCCCACTTCTATAGCACAGCCAAGGGCACTCCCATGTAAAAATATTCCAATGAAGTGTCCATGCTTCCACATAAAATGACGCAAGGCATTTCCTCTACCCTCCCTATCAGACTTCCAACAACCTGTATCTGTTGAATGCAAGGGGGTGGGGAAGATAAACAAAATCAGTTTCGATGGATAGCCTTGGATTGCTCCATTACCCCTTTATGTTTTCCATTTAAATTTCCCAAATCCTAGCTATGGGATTCTTCTAGAAAGATAAAAGAAATTGGGAACCTGAAAGCAAGCAGAGCAGCTGGGCTTGGTGGCACACACCTGTAATCCCAATACCTGGAAGACTGAGGCAAGAAGACTGCCAGCCCCAGGCCATCCTGAACTACATAGCAAAATCCAGACTACCCTGGACTACATACAGAAACTCTGTATCAAGAGAAAAAGGGAGAATAAGAACGAGAAGAGAGAGAGAGAGAGAGATAGGCTAAGAGCAAGCAGAAGAGTTGAAGGAGGGCCACCTAAAACAGAAATCAGTGTGGAGTTCTGGCTCTCAGCCAACTTTCAGGGCTCAGCTGTTTGGGGGGAGGGGGAGAGGGCAGGGAGGGCACAGTACCTGGTTCGCAGGTTCTCTGGCTGGGGCGGGCCATCAAACACTGACAGGACATCGAAATCCTCTTCTAGGGCAAAGGACTGGAACACAAGCTGGACCCTGTGCTGGTCCTCGGCGGTGATGGTCCATGTGCAGTTGGCATAATTGGGGTAACCATACGGGAACCCGGGGCTCTCCACCGTCCCATTGGGACCTTGTAGTTGAAATGTGCAGTTCTGGCCTGGAAGGCAGAAAGGAGGCAGTTCAGCATGGATTGGAGGAGTTCTGGAAGCTTCTGGATAAGGAAACAGTGTATTAAAGAATTGGTGACATACTCTCCCCAACTGATCCCTTAGGGGCTTCTCTGTGGTTGGCACCAAGGGAGAAAAGACAGATGACTCACATGGCCGGTGACCAGGTGGCAAATGTGCCAAAAGAACTCTGAAAGATGGAAAAATGAAGCTTAGAGAGCTTAAACAAAGACACAACCACAACCAGGCTGCCCAAGTGCCAGAGGACTGGTTCAAAACTTCCCCATCCACGCCCCCATGACCCTCAGTAATGTCCTTGCCTCCCCCTCTCCTTAGTACATGAAAGCCTTCAATGGGGCTTTCCTTCGCTTCCCAATTGCAAATCCTTCTAGCCTGTCCCATGCTGCCCACATTCCTCCTACCCAGTGGCCACCTACTCCATTTAGATGGAGTGAAACTCCACATGTCTGCCCTATCTCTTAGCCAAGCATGGTGGTGCATGCCTGTCAGCTCAGTTACTCAGGAAGCAGAGAAGCCGAAGACTGAAGAGTCAAGGCCAGCTCAGCAAAGACAGCAGTGAGACTCAAGCTCACGAACAAAATAGAAATAAAAGGACTAAGGACTAGAATCAAGTAGCAGACAGAGCTCTTGCCTATCCAAAACAAAAACAAATAAAAATAAAAATAAAACAACACCCAATAACAGACTCTATCATCTCCTCTCCCTGCCACCCAGAGACTTTCTCATTTTGTGCTCCAGATTTTATCATTCAGAAAACAAATCCCAACTCTACTCCTCTTCTCCCTCCAGCCTGTCTCTCCCTCTCTCCCCTCCATACCCAGATTTATAGACAACACAATCTGTCTATACTTTCTGTCTCTGCCCTCACTTCCCATCTACTTGCTAACTGTGCCAGTTGCCTGGCCTCTGAAGATCTGGTGAGCTCATCCACAGTAGATAATTTGTGTGTGTGTGTGTGTGTGTGTGTGTGTGTGTGTGTGTGTGTGTGTGTGTGTGTGTGTGTGTGTGTGTGTGTGTGTGTGTGTGTGTGTGTGTGTGTGTGTGTGTGTGTGTGTGTGTGTGTGTGTGTGTGTGTGTGTGTGTGTGTGTCTGTCTGTATGGAGCACAGCTCTACTTCTGGCTTTTTCAGTGGTCTGTAAGAGTCTCACGAACTTTCCTGTACTGGCTAGATTCAAGTCACCAGCCTCTTAGCCTACTGAGTGGCTAAGATTATAGGCAGCACCCAGCTTTTCTTCACGGTACTAGCCTTCTGTCCCTGATACTGTTGCTCAACTGCTCCCCAGCCTACACTATGTGTATCACCTACAGATCTGGCACCAATGGAGATTTGAGTTTAAGTCAAGAGAGAAGAGCCAGTGAGCCCGCACTTCCACCTGGAGATGTGATGATTTAAGGGCCTGGAGTGGCCAGGCCATTTTCCTTCCTCGATATCCTTTCTCCTCTCCCACTGCTCTTTCTCCTCCGCTCTGTGGAAGGACCTTTCTGCCTCTCGCTAGAGGAGCTCACACGGTGGGCTGCCAACATCGCTGAGCAGGCCAGGCCAGGTGCCGCCTCCCCATTCCCTCCACTATCATCCTTGCTCGGGATCAAGCTGTCCTTTGGGATGACCAGGCCGATGGTGCCCCCAACCACTCTATCCTCCTCTGTTGCTTCTTCTCTCAGAAAAAGGAATATGCTTGCACAGCCTTGTCTGAAGCAGAAGCTATCATATACAATGGCTAATACCACTGACAGGAAATGACGCCTTCCTCTCCTTCATAGTCCCACGGCTAAGGTCAGCCTGTCTCCATCTCACCTCCCCCAACCCACAGCAAACTCTTCCCTGGACTCCCATCTCAACTGCCAACTGGCCAGCCTCGCCGCCTTCATCACAATGCATCCAGAGATTATCTTTCCAAACCAGAAATCAGATCAGGCCCTCCCCATAGCACCATCTGCCGCAATCTTTCAACGGTAACTCACTTCTCAATAAGGAAAACAAACAAACAAACAAACAAGCTTCAAGTCTTTGAGGATCTCTACATGTTTAGGCCCTTAGTGATCTCTTCCTTCATACCCTCCAGTGTAACGGCCAAACCCCCAATTTCCTCGCTTCTTGGTACCCGCCATAGACTTAGCCTGGGGCCTTTGCATGTGCTGTTCCTACTACAAGAACACGCTTCCCTACCTCCTTAGGAGGCTCCTGTTACGTGCTCTCCTTCCAGTCTGGTCTCTGTGAGGTAGCACATTACATAGAAGCATGCTTCCGTGCTCCCACAGTGGCCTGAGAGAAGCATCTTCTCTCCCCGGCTGCATGCTATATTACAACAGGGCCAGGCCAGTCCACTTACCTTTGAATCCACCTCTCAAATCTGTAGCTGGCACAAGGTAACTTTATCATCATTTCATGGGGCCCTGTGTCTACTTACATCTTCACCTCTATCGAGTTTCTTTTTAAATTGCAATTATTTTTTTAATCTTTAAGTAGTCCTACAAGAAGTTACATTCAACAAATCAGCATATGAGTAAGATGCATCTTGATTGATATCACCCCTCTCATAGCTCTCCCCCACCCCTCCCAAACTAAACCCTCCCCTCAAGTTTCTTAATTTCATAGGATACACATCAAATATTATGACTGCCTTCTCCCCCATTTCCTCTCTTCATTTGTCTAGCCCTCTTCCTCTTCAACTCCCCCTCCTTACATCTTTCAAGTGCCTGATAAGACAAAATGAGTATCAGGAAACTGGCCTCTATAGGTTTAATGCTCACAACAGCTATGTATGGTAGATACAATTAGTAACGTCTCCATTAATAGACACAGAACAAAGGCAGAGTGAAATGAAAGAGTGAGAGACCCAAGTCATTGGGACTCAGAGGAGAGATTTAACATAAGCAGTCCACTGTCCTCACCGTCATGCTGATAAATTAACTCAACACTAATTTTTTTTAAAGCCACTTTAGAGATTAACTGACAAAAGACACTTAATCTCCAAATGACTTTACTATGAAGAAATCTCTTAATACAAAGTGTCCCATTAAAGGAGGAAAAAAGTTAAGGGCTTCTGAATAAATGTTAAAGAGACATTTTAATAAAATTAGCCATGTAACTCTGATTAAAATGAGTAACCAAGGACTAAGGAAAAGATGATTTCCTTTCCATGCTAACCTACCTTTCTCTCTCACATTTTTTGTAAGGTACTGGGCACTTGTGGCTCACACTTGTAATCTTGGCCACTCAGGAGTCTGAAATCTGAGGATTGATGTTCAAAGCCCACCCAGGCAGAAAAGTCTATGAGAGTCTTATCTCCAATTAGCCACCAAAAAGTTAAAAAAATGGATCTGTGGCTCAAGTGGTAGAGCAGTAACATTACTACATACCCACAATGGATAAAAGTTCTTGCTTATGGTTAATGCAAGTGCATAGAATACATAGAAATAAACTTGATAAGAAGTGTATAGTCAGGGTACAGATGTAACTAAGTGATAGAGCACTACTTGCCTAGCATGCACAAGGTCCTAGGCTCCATCCCTAGCACCAGGAAGAAAGGAGAGGGGGGGGCAGGGAAGGACGGAGGGAATGAGAGAGGGATGGAGAAGAGGGAGGAAGGGAAAGAAGGAAATTTGCAGGCCCTGCATGAAAATAACTTTTACCAAGAGATTTTTTTTTTTTTTAATCTGAGTAATTGAAGAAATGCAGTGTAATCTTGAGTAGAAAGGCCTAACTACTGGAAGGTTAATTTATAATATTAACCTCTCGGAAAGTTATTGAAAAGTTAATTTATAAGCTTATGCAATTCTAATCAAAAGCTCAATGACCTGTTTTAAATTTGGTAAGAAGATACGGGAAAAATAGGTTACCATGGACAATACAGTTTTTTTTAAGGTAATAAATTTAGTATTTGCATCCCAACAGATACAAAATAGCATCATTAATAAGAAATGAAAATGGTGTGGGGGTTAGCCCCAGTGTGGAGATGGAACCTGAAACCATACCACTAATATACAGAAAATGTGAAACACATAAGCATGATATTTAAATCAATGAGGGAAAGATTTTTGCAGACTTAGTGAATTAACTGTTTAGGGAAATATATATTCCAAAATACATTTCTAACGGAATAAGGAATCTTTCTTTCTTTCTTTTGCCAATCCTGGAGCTTGACCACTTGAGCCACAGTGCTACTTCCGGCTTTTTTGAGTAGCTTATTAGAGATAAGAGCCTCACAGACTTTCCTTCCTGGGCTGGCTTCCAATCATAATCCTCAGATTATCCAAAGCCTCCTGAGTAACTAGGATTACCGGCATGAGCCACTAGTGCCCAGATGGTACATATGTCCTAAACGTTGTAGAAATAATTAGAAAACAATATAGGTGAAGAATTATCTGACTGTGGTATTCCGCTTTTCTTTTTTTTTGGCTGGTCATGAGGCTTGAATTCAGAGCATAGGTACTATCCCTGAGCTTTTTTGCTCAAAGCTAGCACTCTATCACTTTGAGCCACAGTGCCTCTTCTGGTTTCCTGGTGGTTAATTGCAGATAGAGTCTCATAGATTTTCCTGGCCAGACTGGCTTCGAACAGCAGTCCTCAGATCTCTGCCTCCTGAACAGCTAGGATTACAGGCGTGAGCCACCAGCAACTGGCTCTGATTTTCTTTTTTTGTGTAGAAGACACTGTAAGATTGATGGTTTTATGCAAAAGCTATGTGTGTCAAAAACCAGACACCCAATCAAAAGGCATACACAAACATTAGGCAGAAATGTGACATCCTGAATATGGAAATAACTGTTTCTAGCAATAAAAAACAGAGCACAGCTTACAGTGGTAAACCTGAACAGGGCAGATCTGAGCAAGTAAGTTTACAATAGATGTTGTCAGTCACCAGGAACCAGAAAACTAATCAACCTCAATAATAATGAGCTAAAACTATTTCTACAACTTTCCTGAGGGTCTCAGGTAGAGTTTCCTGAACTCCTCTTTACCAGCACA